CCTCCTGCTCGCGCAGCTCGGCCTGCAGCTGCCAGAGGCGGGCGCGCAGCGCGGCCACCAGCCGCGGCATCTCGGGCCGCGCCGCCTCCTCTGCCTCGGCGTCCGCCATCTGCACCCAGCCCCGCCGCGCGTAGGCAACGGTCACGTGACTGGCAACGGCTGACCTCACCGTCCCGGGACGGCGTCACGTGACCGGACACGTGACGCCGCCGCCGGCCGTCCCCATCCTGCCCCCGCTCCTCCCCTGCGCGCGGCCCCACGTGACCGAAAGAACTGGGACACGGACGGCGCTGGCGGGGGAGGGGAAGTTTGCGCCTGCGCCTGCGCCGCTTGCACGGCACCACGTGACCGCGCCGCGCCTGCGGGGGGGTGCATAGAGGCAGCCACGTGACAGGGACTTGGGATCGAAGTGAAGTGAGAGCTGCCTTGCGACTGGCTGCCTCTCGTGTGGTGCTGTCGAGCTGTCCCTGCCGGCGCTGCCTCTGTTCCGCTGCCCCGGGGTTGAAACTTGCACTGGTAGTGAAGAAACTATATACATGCATGAAGAAACTACGCACACATAAATATCTATGTGTATCTATAGATCTATATCTATACATCTATAGAGCTACAGATATAGATATCTATCTATATCTAAAGAAAGTACATACATATATATGAAGAAACTACATATATCATCCCAGGGAAATAAAAATGGAGGCGCTGGAACGGCCTCCCGCGGTGGGACCCGAGGCAGGGGTGACCTGCCCCACAAAAGAAAAAAAGAGCCATGGAAAGAAGACAAACTTCCCACAGGGAAGAGCAAGCCGCGCCGAGAAGGGCCACCTGCGCAGTTTATCAGCAGCTTTTGTTGCCTGCTGGCGGCGGCACCAGCAGATGACATCATAAAAAACCGCTGCCCAGCAGGTTCAACAGGCGGCAGCAGAGAAGTGGCGAAAAGAGCTGCAGGGACACTGGAGAGTGAAGTTGCTCCCCAGCTGATGTCCCAGGAAGGTCAGCAGCCCTAGTAGGGGCGAGACAGGGATCCCCTAAAAGGGGCTCTCCCCACATTAGAGAGGACCAGCACCCTGATTGGCGGGACAGCCAAGGTAAAAGAGGGAGGACATTGAGGGATCAGATAAGACCAAAGACGTTGGGCCTGTGAGTGGGGTGGGCAGAAGCACACACCCAGATTCTTTTCTTTTCTTTTCTTTTCTTTTCTTCGTTCTACTTTATTTTGGAGGCCACCGGGAGTTGTGACTAAAGAAAGATCCTCCACAGGTCTAGGGTCACAGAGAAAGATTGAGGCAGGACTGGGCAGGAGCCTCAAAGGAAGACTGGGTGCAAAGGTGGAGACAATTGTATGCCTCATGGTGGTCGGGAATTGGCAAGTCGGGGAGCAGGCTGAAGATCCACCATCTGGCGGCCCTGAGGGTTGGCACCTGAGGGGAGGTGGAGCCCCAAAAACGTCTCTGACGGGTAGTACCATGAACAGTGAGAAACCCTGGGAGGGAACCTCACTGCTGAAGAAGAGAAGACCAAGTCGTGACAGGAGAGTGTCAGGGCTGTCCTTAGGGTGGAACGCGACCTAACACCTAAGTTCCGGGGGCACACCCCTCAGATGGGGTTGAGTGAATGCTGGAAGGCCGCTCAAAATCATCTATACAAAGTCTGACGGGAGCATATAGATAGATAGATATAAAGAAACTACATACATACATACAAAGAAACTACATATATATACATGAAGAAACTACATATACACACACATACATACATATGCATACATATATATACACAAAGAAACTACATATATACGAAGAAACCACATATATATGTGGTGGTGAGAAGCCCCCACAGGCGCTGAGGATGCCGGGGAACATCCCGGACATCCCCAGGGGGAACAAGCAAGCTCCCCATACCCCAGCAAACTTACTGCTGGGATGGGCGGAAGCGGAGCAGGAGCCGCGCAAGCCAGCATTGTGCCAGCTTTTCAAGCAGCTGCTTCCCAGGTGGGGTGGCAGCCAGCTGGTTGCGGCAGCTGATCCTGCTGTCACAGGGAATTTAAAAACCCTGCCGGAAGCTGGCAGAGGAGCAGAGGAAGCCAGCTTGGAGCACGCTGGGCAAGCAATGGCTCCAGAGGCTGGTTGCGGCTGCCCAGAAGATACTGCCCACAAGAAAGGAGGGGGAGAAGTGTCAGGCATTAGACTGGGGACAGACCATCTCCAGCCCCTCAATTTTGAAGCTTTACAGAGGCATCTCTCTTGTGGGGGAGGACACCAGGCGCCTGGAGCTCAGCACCTTGGGATCAGGGACTGAGACTCCAGAGGTATCAACATCCAGGCGATGGGCAGGGTTGCTGAAGCTGATGCCAGACCCCATAGTAAAGGGGCTTATGGAGATCTTCAGAGCAACAAGTGGAATACTGGAGCGGTTGGCAAGTGGATGGCGTGTAAGGGAGGTAGAGCCCTGAGGAACACACTTGTGAGTACCCCATCTTCAGGTCTATAGGGGAAGAGAATGCCACTGAACCCCCTCCTTCTCTTCAGATACCAACAAGTCATGGCAGGCGAGTTAGGGGACCCTGACCTAGGGGGCAGTGTTGTACTCACAGCGCCCACTAGAGGCATGACAATACACACACACACACACACACACACACACACACGAAGAAACTACATATATATAAAAAAGAAGAAACTGATTATATATATATACAGTAAAAGCTCTGTTATCTGGCATTCATGGGGAATGCCAGGTAATCAAACATGCTGGTTATCTAAGAGTTATACTTACCTCCAGCCCAGTGGCTTGGAGGCGCCTTTGCCTGTTTGGGCCGCTGCCCCTCTTGCCATGTCCAGGGTGCCAGGGCTTTCACTTACCAGCTTCAGTGTGCTAGGGGACAGGGAGGGGGGCACCGCACAGGCTGCTTT